ATAGTTCAATTAGAAGATTTGGTATCTAATTAAACAGATTATCAAAGGATCCAGTTTTGTGAATTCATGCCACCCCTAGGGGAGGTTAAGGGTTAGTTGCTCAATGGCTTTTCCTCAGCTGCAGGCTCTCAAGTTTTCACTGACATGCATGATATTAGAGATAGTGATTCCATACGTGGCTGATCATCAGTCACCTGTGGAGGTTAAATATTACAGATTCTTGCAGCCCTTCCCCAGTGATTCCTGGGTAGATCCCTGGGTCTGTTATTTTGAAGAGCCTTTCACATGATTCGTATGGTCACTGGCAGAGCCTGTTTCACCCAGCCATACCTGATACAAAGTATGTGCATTGGGTGACAAAAGAAAAAAAATCAGAAAAATCTTGATGCAATGGAGTGATCTGCTGAATCTAATAAAATTAGTTTTGAAGGCAAAAAGGTATAAATGCAAGATGGTGTAGGCCTCTAGTTTCAGTTTCACACACAATACACATATACACATTGGGGTAAAGGTTGGTTTCTTCTTTTCCTTTTAGATAGGGTCTGTTATTAAATCGAACCATATAAAATTAGTGATATTTGACTGTTTTTTGACTTACAAGGATAGCATTTTCACATAGTTTGACCTAGTTGAACATGCCATACTTCTGAGGATGAGTCATTTTTGGAAGGGGAGTCTGGTGGAACAGTATTGAGAGGATTTAACCAAAGGAGCAAAGCCTTTGAGCATCTGAGATGGGATGGAATTCCAGCACACACAGAGGAAAGGGTTAGCCTTTGAGGCAGGTGTTGATGGATGGAGTGTTGACAGGGTGTGTTTTTTCAGCTGTAACAGAAAGGAAGAAGGAGCCTTGCTTGATTGCTCACAGTGACGGAAATCCCAACAGCTAGTGTCATACCTGGAACAAATACTTATGTAATGTGTTTGCAAATTTAGCTATAGATACATGTTGAATGATTTTGTTCTTAGGGCTTAGTGTATACAGATCCTGTTCTACCTTGTGGTAGACTCTACATTTGCTCTTTTGAAAATCTTTGATGTTAGTGATATTTTGCTCGGTTTTCTTCTTTCACCAAAACCAGAATAAATCACATATCATGACCTCCTTCCCCACTCCTCAGCAATGCGACACCATGGTCTCTCTATAGAACTGATTAGCAAATCAAAGACTGAAGTGATTTTCTTGCTCTACAGAAAATTGTCTTTTTCAATATTACTATCAGTATTCTTTTACTTGTCAGGATAATTGAGACATTATCTGTGATTTTGATTTCTTTAATGCAGACTACAAGTGCATCCTTTTGAGGTTACTCCATTTTTCTCTATCATGTGTGCAGAATTTGTTTATAAGGTGTGTATATTTTGAGAAGTTCAGTTTTGTGGAGGGAAGTTTTATTCCAGTGCAATGCATAATATCTTTTTAAAAATGATTTTCATTAGACAGTGATGCTGACATATCCCTAGGCCACAGTTTTATCCATGTACTTAATTTAGTACGGAATTCCAGGTATTGATCATTAATTGTATCTTTAAAGCAACCATAAGATTGAAAATTGTCTTCTGTGCCATCAGGTTCCTTTTTCGTGAAACATCTCCTGAAAAGTTTATTTTGAATAATATTCTCACAAATGGCTTATGGGACCCGGGCCAACGTAAAAATACTTCTGAAGTTCCCTCTTCTCATTGAGTGCTTGTGAGTTGTAGAGAGGTTTGTTGCATACATGACTCTAAAATCTTTTCTGAAATACAAGAAGATCTGGAGAAATGTGGGCACTTATGTATTAATTTATACACTGTGTCAGATAGAACATATGGCACCTTTGAAAGCTCTAGGATAATGACATTTTAGATGAAGCTAAAGTTTTGTTTATGAAGGTATGTAGTTTTATTACTGGAAAGACAGTCAACATGTTCTAATTCTGCTTGGAATCAGAGGAACTTGATTTACTGTTACCTGTTCTGGTAGAAATTGTCAGCATCATTAAAATCTACTTGCATCTTTAGTATTAGAAATATTCAACAGAATTTGTCAGAAGTGATTTATTTGAAAAAAGCCACAGTTCATTGGCGGTGTGATAATGAATGAAGAAAAGTTTCTCCCTTGATAGCATATTTATGAAAATGTATACAGATTGGCCATCTGTATACCTGATTCTGAAGTATTTTTAGCTTCTTTGGTTGAACTGTAGATTAAGTCAAAGGGTTTCTTTTGGTCTTTCTATTGAGAATCAGTTCAGAACCAATGCCCACATGCGCTTATAAAGAAGAGTTTGACGTATGATTCTGTGCAGCAGTTTTGTTAACTTGGAATATGCATGGTTCAACTAGCTTTTCTCTTTGGGCCTGCACTAGTGTAGCACTGATTCTTCAAGTTGCCTTGGCTTTCTTATTTCCAGTTGTAAAGTGATGCTTATTCTCTCTTGCTTTTCAGTAAGGGAAATGGGCTCATCTTGCAGGATTTCTGTGTTACAGCTTTTCATTTCCTGACTCTATATGCTGCTAAACAAGTGTCAAAGTGCATCTGTGTGTTGACATACCACACCATCCCGGAAGTGACAGTTGCTTTAAAGGACTACAGTTTTGACATGTTAGGGGCTATTTCTGTCACATACCTCTAACTGGAGAGGCTTATGTGAACATCCTTCAGGTCTGTGGAGGTACATGACCATCTTACGTGCTTTGCCTCTCCAGCCTCAGAGCTTTGGGTCTCTATCCCGTGTTGGCCTTTTCTCCCTCCTAGAAGATAATTTGCAGTTGATTTGCTTCTAATTTTGGCTTTGTTTTTCTGCCTTAGTCTAAAATTTCTTCCTTAGTTTCCTCAGACTTCTGTCAGTTCTCACACCATTTGCTTAAAAGACTGGCCTTCTCTTTGTAGATATCGGACTGTTTACTTCTCCTCTTTCTTATGTTGAATTGACCCATAACTTGTAAGTATAAGCCTTGTCTCTCCACTGCCATTAGTTTTTTTTTTTGTTTTTGGTAAGCTCCCCTGTACCCTCAATTACAAACCAGTTACCATTGAATTGACTCTGACTCATGTTGAGTTAGGAGCTCTGGTGGCGTAGTGCCTAATGCATTTGATTGCTAACCAGAAGGCTGGCGGTTCAAACCCACCAGCCACTCCTTGGAAGGAAGATTGGGCAATCTACTTCCCTAGAAATATTGCCTTGGAAACCCAAGGAGGGGTCTCTATGAGTCAGGTCCTACTTGACAGCAGTTAGTTGACTCTTCAGGGTTGAGCTGTGCTCTATAGACTTGTCCCGTGCTCTATAGAGTTGTCGCTGGCTGAATTTTCAGAAGTAGATCACCAGGCCTGTCTTCTGAGGTGCCTTGAACTTCGAACCTTTTGGTTAACAGCTGAGCATGTTAACTGTTGCCACCACCCAAAGATTTCCCCCATCACAAAATCAACAAATATTCATGACAGTGTAAAGAAGATTATAAATATCCATAACCAGTGTTTACCAACTTGATATATGGCCTTCCATGTGTGTTTTTTGAAAAGGAGATCATGTCATTCCTACTATTTTAAAACTGCTTTATTTCCAGGAACTATCTTTCTGTATATTTATGCTTTTTAACCAATTTATTTTTCTAAATTTTCTGAAAACTATTGCATTATATAAATGTATTACCTGAACAGTCCCCTGTTTTTCATTTAGTTTTTTTCCTCTTTTGTTTCTTCCCTTTGTCCTTTGTTCCTTTCTTCCTTCCTGTTACTTACTTGTGATACAATTTTTGTTTCTAGGTGTTCAGGGTTGTTGGTTCACCTTCATAATAATGTTTATATTGCTGTTTTTTAAACCTTAATTTGGTGTTTTATGGGACATAGGGACAGACTATTTACTGGCAGTTACAGTGTCACCCTTTGTGTTCACTGTTGATATGAACAGAGTGCCATCTCTTACTCATATTTGTCTTCCTAGCATGTAGCATTATACCTGACGTAGTGGGTGTCCACTGGAGAATTATTGTTAAGTTCCAGCAATCTGAAGGCCATTTGACAAATATATATGAGTATCTGCTATGTACTTGGAACCTGGGATATAGAGATGAACAGACAAACATTATCCTTATTCTCATGGTGCTTAGAATCCATAAGCTGAGGTAGGATTCTATATAACAAGGTTTCTATTATCGAGACAGCAAGTCTGTTAATGTGAAGATCAATTTTAAAAATCTAAAAGTCACACGGTATAGTAAAAGCAATATAAATGATTTATAGCGTAGTAACTTGGGAAGCATTCATGCCGGTCTTCTTAATGCATATGGCTAATTAAGAGTTGACAAAGTGATTTTTCTAAGGAACTCTGGTGGTGCTGTGGTTAAGGCATTGGACTGCTAACCAAAAGGGTAGGTGGTTCAAACCCCCTAGCTGCTCTGTGGGAGAAGGATGAGGTAGTCTTTTTTCTGTAAAGATTTGTAGCCTTGGAAAACCTATGGGGGTGGCTGTGAGTCAGAATCAACTCGATTGCAGTGGGTTTGGTTTGGTTTTTAAGTGATTTTTCTATAGACAGTATTTCTTACTTCGGATTGTCCACTAGTGTAATGGATTGAGATGAAAATATCTTTTTCAGGTTTATGCTTTTTGACTTTTTCAAGTAACTAAATCAGTTATGCTTAAATTGAATATACCATACCTGAGTATAATCTGCCATCACGGTACTTAGTGATTCTAGAGACCCAAAGATCTTTCTTCCAGGGCTTTGGGTAAGGTTTGTAATAGGAAATACAGCCCCACATTTTTTGGTGTTCTGTTGCACATTTTAAAACATGATTAAACAAAGATTACAGCCGTGGAGATTTTCTGCTGTGAATTGGGGTTTCAGCCCTGCCAGCTGTTCATGTTTTCTGTGATCCCACTAATAAAAGTGGGAAGAGAAGGGTGAGTGGCTGCCTTTTTGGGCAGGCACATAATTTAAAAAAAAAAAAAATGTGTTTGCCTCAGCACAGCTGTATTAAGAGTTCTCACATAGCTGCCTTTTTCTTTTTTATTGTAGGGCCAACTCTCAATGTTGCAAGAAAAAATAGACCATTTGGAACGTTTGCTAGCTGAAAATAATGAGATCATCTCAAATATTAGAGACTCAGTCATCAATTTGAGTGAGTCTGTGGAGGATGGTCCGAAAAGTTCACAAGGCAATTTTAGTCAAGGTGCCGGCTCACGTCTTCTGCCTTCGCAACAATTATCCCTCCCAATCGACTCCAAAGACTGTGTGTTTGCTTTACAAAGTGGAGGTCAGAGTTCAGATGTGCAGGTGATGTATACGCTTACTAATAATCACTGGATTTTTTTTAAAGACTTGATCTCTCTGCTACCTGTTTGAGCTTGTTAAGTCACTTAAACTTTTTGAATTTCACTTTCGGTCTTTGTAAAGTGATTTGATTAGTTACGTTACCATTAATGTTCTTTTTAGTGATAAAATCCTATGGTTCTGTGCTTGCTTATAATTTTTGTTAGTATTTTATATTTATGTGAAGACAGCTTTTTTTGTATGCTTTCCAGTTTTCATTTTCTGTATTAGTTAAAAAGCTTTAGAGGTTTAAATTTAGTCAAAGAGATTTTCTTGCTTTCTTTGGCAAGTTCAAGAAAAGCCCTGCTTTTGCTGTATAGCTGTTAACACCAGCATAGATTTCATACAGTGTATGTAGCCTTAGGTTTTTTGTTTTTGTTGAATACTGTCTGGTGAGGGTGGAAGGAGATCTCTTGGAGCTGTGCTGTCCCGCATGGAAGCCACTGTCTGTGTGTGGCTACTGAGCACTTGAAATGTGTCTAGTTTTAATTGAGATGTGCTCTAAGTATAAAACACACTCAAGATATTAAAGGCATATTTTAAAAAAACAAACCTTGAAATACTAAATTTTTTTATATCAAATACTATTTTTTTATATCTATTATTTTGTAAGATAATGTTTTGGATATATTGGGTTTAATATCATGTATCATTAAATTAATCTCATCTGTTTTGTTTTACTAGCAGAGTTAAAATGACATACTTGGCTTGCATTATATTTCTACTGGACAGTACTGTTGTTGAGTGTGAAAAAGTAGGAGGTAAACTTGTTGCCATGGAATTGATTCTGCCTCATGGTGACCCTATGTGTTACAGAGTAGAACTGCTTGAGGGCAGTGGAGTTAAAACACCAGAGTCAGAAAGGACTCTGCTTTTCATAAACTCTGAGAGTGTCACTCACATTGCTCTGTTCTGCCTGTTAGCAGAGGGTTGTGTTTAACCTTGTGCCTTAGATCAGAAACTACAACTTTGGAGGACCCTAAGGGGTGAATATTTTAAAGTCAAATAAAATGAGTTGGCTTCTGGCCTTGCTCTAGAGCAGGATTTTTCACTAACTCCTAGGGGCATAGAACATGATACAATCTGGAGACCATGGCTGACAGGCCAAGCCTTAAGCTGGGGACAGTGGAACCAGTTAGGCCTTGCACCTGCAACCACAGCAACTAATGTGTGTCCAGATTGATAGGATCACAGTCCTGTGCTTTGCAAGGAGATCTGTTTCTGTGAGGCTTGGTTTTGTTTAGATTATAATTAAGTAACTTTTAAGTACTTACCCTGTGTCATCCATGCTAAGGGAACAACAAAAACAGTTTTTTTTTTTCTCTAAATGTGGCCTGGAGAGAGAGGAGTTGCAGAGCAGTCGTGGAAGGCAGACAGAGTGAGGTAGGAAAGAACTGGGAGAGCTGTGGGGCTGAAGAAAGAACTGAAAGGAGTAACAGACTGCTACCATGTCTTTCCACCCAGCTGGTTCCCCAGAGATTTGTTGGATCATCGTTGGGGTGTTTCATTTTATTTATTGAAGTCATAAATTTCATACCCAGAAATCAGCTATGTAATGATACTTAGAAGTTAAGTCACAATTTTGAAAAATTCCTCCATTTTTAGATGATTATGCCTAGTTAATCTTGTTGTAGTTTTATTTTTAAGATTAAAAAGGTAAGCATACATGTGCTAAAAGGAAGAATAGCTACAGATGCATTTTTATTCAGATAGGATTTTTAAAATACATGAGACTGATTCTAAATAAAGACATCTCAAAGTTTAAAATCATTTTCAGTACAGTATTTGAAAATGCTGAAATATTTTGGTTCATAATCTGATTTCATCAAATTTTTTTTGTTCACTGTTAGGTTCCTATAAATTTCTGTTAAATTGTGTTGGAAGTAAAGTAAGGGGAGAAGAAATTGAATGAAATTATTGTTTATTAGAGGCAGGAGGGTGAGGGGATTACTTTTCATATGGTTCAGGACAGTCATGTAACATAAGTAGTGTTTTTAAGTCTTTGAATGATTAGATCTTTAATTAACTTTTACAGAAATAATTTTATCTTACAAAATATTTATGCAGAGTATGGCAGTGAGTAGTTTTTTTAGCAAATATTTACCAACATTAAGTTTAAATTAATAATGATTCTACTTGGTTAAACTTACTCTAAGGTTTTTTTTTTTTTTTTTTTTTTGTATTTAGATGTTGGATGTTTATAGTCTAATTCCTTTTGACAATCCAGATGGTGGAGTTTGGAAGCAAGGATTTGACATTACATACAAAACTGATGAGTGGGACACTGAGCCCCTTCAAGTCTTTGTGGTGCCTCATTCCCATAATGACCCAGGTAAAATTTGCACTTCAAAAAAATTAAAGATTATTAAGTCCCTTTTAAGAACAGAGGTTTATAATAAGAATCTGGTAGAGCCAATGTTTCAAATTTCTGAGCCATTATTCTCTGACTTTTAACACTAACATATTCCTTATACGAATCATTGGATTTTAGTGTTCTCATTTTATCAGTTTATATGCCATTCAAGGATAGTATTTATGTCATATGAAATAGTCATAATCACAAGAAGGTCTTAGATTTTGGAAGCAAACATTTATACTCATTAAAGGTACTAGTTGTTCATTTCAATAACTACTTGTAAAATACTGTATGGGAGAATTATTGAGTGTCCATAAACTACATTAAGAAAGGCAGAGTGCTCAAGGGAAATGGAATCTTTAAAGTGGAGAAATGGTGTAAAGTGGTGGTTAAGAACATTGGCTTGATGTCAAGGGGACATGGGTTTGAGTCTTGACTCCATTAGTGTTAGCTGATGACTTTAGACATGTTACTTATTCCCCCAAGGTTTAGATTTTTTCACCTAGAGATTAGGACAGTAGTATTTACTTCATAGGGTAAAAAGATAAAGGCATGGCATATGGCAGAAAAGTAGCTGCTATCATCATCATAATTATTATTACTGTTACCTGATGACTTTTGTTACCTGTTGAGAACAGATTTTGTTTTTTCCCTAAAGTAAGTGGAAATAACTAAAATGACAGTGAAAAATATATTCCGATGTATGTACATTTTAGTGTACAAGCACAGAAAAGATGACTATTGAATTTAATTGAATCATTTTTTTTGGGTGGGAGTAGAGATTGTATATTTCCAAAGACTTATTTTGAAGCACTTTAGTTTTATTACTTTTTTCAATTTTGTCAATATTATTAGAGGCACCAGTAGTCACCTAGTACTTTGAATTGTTTTTTCTTTATTTCCAGCATTCATTATCTTCTAATTATATCCTTTCATTTGTTACCATTTATAAGATAATATAATTTTCACATTGTGCTTGAACACATGATTAAAACTTTTTTTGTGTGTGTATGTGTTATGGATTGAATTGTGTCCCCTCAAAATATATGTCAGCTTGGCTGGGCCATGATTCTCAGTAGTTACTAGTTACATAGTGATGCAGTTTGGGCAGTTATATAATGATGTAATCATCCCCCTTAACGTGATCTGATTTGATCAGACAATCAGTTGTAAGTGGATTAGGGTGTAGGATGCAACACTCTTGTACCCTCAGTCAGGTCACCACCCTGCTCTAAGGAGAATTTCCCTGGGGTGTGGCCTGTATCACCTTTTATGTTACAAGAGATGAAAGGAGAGAGAAGGGATCAGAGAAGGAGGGACCTAACTATAGCCAAGAAAGAAGAACTAGGAGCAGAGTGTGTCCTTTGGACCCAGGGTCCCTGTGCTGAGAACCTCTTAGACCCAGGAGAAAATTGATGGCAAGACACATGGAGAACTCCAAGGTACATCGGGCCTACAGATGTTGAAAGAAGAAACGGACCTTCCCCAAGAGGTGACAGAGATAGAAAGCCTTCTTCTAGAGCTGGTGCCCTGAATTTAGATTCCCTAAACTGAATTTAGAGTCAATCTGGACTCTTAAATTTTAGCCTCCTAAACTGTAAGAGAGTAAAATTCTGTTTGTTAAAGCCACCCACTTGTGGTATTTAGGTTATCACAGCACTAGATACCTAAGATGGTATGCATGTTGCTTTTGAATGTGAGATGCAGCGTGGGAGATAGAGCATGGATGCTGGTATGTTTGAATTTCCAAAATACTTTGCACAGAAGTATAGACTGTGTGAAATTGATGTTGTAGAATTTGTGGTGAGCAGTTACCATACCTCAGCTCCTGACTTTGATTGTCTGGCTTTGGTTTTAATGGCACTGTGAATCTAACTTGTTCTCATGTATATTTTACATCAGAATCTTCCATAGTCTCAATCTGTTACTTAAAGTCTAAATTCAGGGATAGCCAGGCAACTTGGAAAGACTTCATATATTTGGAACCAGACAGAATGAGGCAGGCAGGTTTCCCTGTGGCCTTAGGCACATTGATTAGTCT